GACTGGAGGAAGACTCATTAACAACCTGTGATATGCAGATGACACAACTTTGCTTGCTGAAAGTGAAGATGACTTGAAGGACTTAGTGATGAAGATGAAAGCCTGCAGTGTGAATTATACCTCAAAATAAAGAAAACAAAAAATCCTTACAATTGGGCCAATAAGCAGCATCATGATAAATGGAGAAAAGATTGAAGTTGTCAAAGATTTCGTATTGCTTGGTTCCACAATCAATACCCATGGAAGGAGCAGTCAAGAAATCAGATGTTGTATTGCACTGGGAAAATCTGCTGCAAAAGACCTCTTTTAAGTGCTGAAGAGCAAACATGTTTCTTTGAAGACTAAGGTGCACCTGACTCAAGCCATGATATTTTCAGTTGCCTCATATGCATGTGAAAGACAGACAATGAACAAGGAAGACTGAAGAAGAGTTGATGTTTTTGAGTTGGGGTGTTGGTGAAGTATACCGAAAGTACCATTGACTGCCAGAATAAGTAGTAAATCTGTCCTGGAAGAAATGGAGCCTGAATGCTCCTTGGAAGCAAAAATGACCAGACTCCATCTCACATACTTTGCTCATGTTGTCAGAAGGGACCATTCCTTGGAGAAGGATATGCTTGGTAAAGTGGAAAGTTGGCAAAAAAGGGGAAGACCCTCAACAAGATTGATTGACACAGTGGCTGCAATGATGGGCTCAGATATAGTAAGGATTGTGAGGCTGGCATAAGACTGGGCAGTATTTCGTTCTGTTGTACATACAGTTGCTATGAGTTGGAGCTGACTCGATGGCACTTAACAAAAACAACAATAACAACACTGGTGATGATAGTACAATATGAATAAGAAATTAAGCATAATTCTTTGCTTCTGAGGTCCTAAAGAAGGAAAGGTTAAAAATGCAAGAAAGGAAGAAGGGAGAAAAGGATAGTAGCAGGGAGGGAATGAGCAAGGAAAAATTCTTTAAAACAATTGTTAGACAAATGCTTGAATAAAATAGGGAAACATTAGAAACGTTCATCAATAGGGGAATTGCTAAATAAACTAGAGTATCTGTATTAAATATAATAGAAATTAGAAATAATATTTTTGAAATTAAAAAATTTTATAGTAAATCAAATAGTAGAAACAAAGTTGCTTATAAATTATAATCACAGCCATCTATAAAAATGCATATTAAAGATATTTCCGAGGTGGTATTTCTATGGAAGTAGATTCCAGTCTTCCTTCTGAGGAGTTGCTGGTGGGTTTGAACTGCCAGCCTTCTGGTTAGCAGTCAAATGCCTTAGCTTTTATGCCACCAGAGCTCCCCAAAATGGAAGAGAAGGACCTTAAATACCCTCTTTCTGAAAGCTGCCTGATGATTTCCAGCCTCACAATCCTTGCTATACCTGAACCCATCATTACAGCCCATTGTTAGTTTGGAGAAAAACACTATAGAGCTCATTTTCAATCAATGTCCCTCTCATCCCTCAAGAATCTCAAGTCTATGTCTTTCTTCTTTCAGAGACCTTGGGTCTACTTTCTTGCAAAGCTTTACCCTAAATTTCATACTCAGATGAATCCATTCAGGACATATACAATTTCCCCATTGCCCAGCGTTTTATGTATTTCATAAACAAACCAGATCAAATTCATGCCCATGGCGTTGATTCCTACTTGTAGTGATCCAATATATCTCTATGTCCCTAACCAAATCGTGTGAGTTGATATAGTCAACTGACACATTTTTCTACCAAAGATAAAATATGAACTAAAGCAAACAAATACTTTGCTATTTTCTTGTTCTATTCTGAAAATATTCCACATCTTGTCACATCTGACATCCTGAGACATCAGAAGTTTTCATTAATATCTATTAACTGAGCTACCTGGCTGCAATTCTGCCATTTCCCATACACCCACCACCAGTTCTCTGCTGCCTGAGAAGTTGCAAACTTTTCCGTAGCATGTTTTTCAGAGCTGCTTTTACTTCCTTGTTCTTTAGGCTGTAGACAAGGGGATTCACAAGGGGAGTGACTACACTGTACTGCATGGAAAAAACCAACTCCCATGGAGAACCTGAAGTTGGCATAAGATAGCGAAGAAAACCTGAGCCATAGAACAAGCTCACTGCAGTGAGGTGGGAGGAACAGGTGGAGAAGGCCTTGCTTCTGCCTGTGGTGGAGCTGATGCTTAGGATGGTGAAGATAATGCGGGTGTAAGAGAAGAAAACCAGGAGGAAGGTCCCAAAGGCATGCAGGAGGGCTGAGCAGAGCAGGACAACAAAGTTAGTGAAGCTATTGGAGCAGGATAGAGGGAATAGAGAAGGTATCTCACAGCTGAAGTTGGGGATGACTTGAGTTTCACAGAAGTCCAAATTCCAAGCTAGAAGTGTGTTGATGAGAGCATCCCAAAAGGCCGAGACCCAGGATGCCCACACCAGCCTCACACAGAGCTGGCTGCTCATAATTTGACCATACAGCAGAGGGTAGCAGATGGCAGCATAGCGGTCATAAGCCATCACTGCAAGGAGGCAGAGCTCTGTTCCCCCAGAGTGAAGCACAAAGAAAGCTTGGGTCAAGCAGTCCTCTACTGAGATGGTTTTCTTCTTAGATAGGAGAGTCTCCAGCATTTTGGGCACAGTAACTGAAGAGTAACAGAGATCCAAGAAGGAGAGGTGGCTCAAGAAGAAGTACATGGGGGTGTGGAAGTGGGAATTGACCCTGATAACCATGATCATCAACAAGTTTCCTAACAGGGTTAGGAGGTAAATCACCAGGAAAAGCACAAAGAGTAGGGCCTGACTGTGATGGCCTGCAAGGAGCCCAAGGAGGAGGAACTCAATGATGGTACTGTGGTTTTCCAAGGCCATTTAGAAAGGATGATCTTTTGGAAGAAAACAGAAAGATGAATGAATCAACAATTGGCTCCTCTGGCAACCCAGAGTTCCCACCCAATTCTATTTACACTTTTCTTCAACTGCTCATCATTGCCACCATTTTCTAATAGCTCTCCTGGAGTCCTTTCCCTTCTCTGATTTCCTGACAAACAAGTCTTGAACCCTCTGTGATCTTTCTATTTGTTTTTCTTTTACTACAAATAGATCTAGAAAAAAATCATATAATTTCTCAGAGCTGTAAGAAAGATTATATAATCACTTTGGGAAATTGGGCAGTTTCTTAAAAAGCTCAGATATGGATATATACCCACCCTGTTATTGTTGTTATGTGCCGTAGAGTAGGTTCCAACTCATAGCAACACTATGCACAACAGAACGAAACACTGCTTAGTCTTGCACCATTATTATGGAAATAATATTCCATCTCCTCGAACTGGGCCTTTGGTTTCGTTCTATACATTGTAGTAAAGAGCTTGTTTTTCTGCAGAAGTTGTTCTAATCCTTCTTGTTCTCCTTAGTATTAGTCTTTCATTTTCTACTCATCATTTTATGATTCATTAGTATTTAATAGTACACTATTTGTGTTATCCTTCTTGTCTTTAGGATTATCTTTCATATATTTGGAGCATTTGATCTTAGGGATAATTTACAAAGCAATTATTTTTTCTCTCTCTGTATATGTGCATGTCGGGGAGCTGAGATTAGGGAGGATATCGTCAAGCCTGTTTTTTAAAAGTTCAAGCAAAACTGAGTTTCTCATAAAAAAGAATTTTAAAAAGAGAAAAGCAAGCCAGATGCTGGGAAAAAATATTAGACAAAGTGCCCATATAAAGAATTTATAACAAAAACTTATGGATCAATAATAAAAATGACAAACAATCCAACATAAAAACAAGGAAAACACTAGTAAGGACCTTCACAAAGGAAGGAAACTAGATGAAAAATAGGCTTATGAAAAATGCTCAACATCATAAATCATTAAAGAAATACAGAATAAAGCAAAATGAAGTACTATCAAACACTCGTCAGAATGACTAAAATTGCCAAGTGTTGGCAAAAAGAGTAGAACAACCAAAACTTTGCATATGGGCGTGTAAGATTATATAATCACTTTGGGAAATTGGGCAGTTTCTTAAAAAGCTCAGATGTAGATATATACCCACCCTGTTATTGTTGTTATGTGCCGTAGAGTAGGTTCCAACTCATAGCAACACTATGCACAACAGAATGAAACACTGCTTAGTCTTGCACCATTCTCATAGTAGTTGCTATGTTTGAGTCCATCATTGCAGCCACTATGTCAGTACATCTCACTAAGGGTCTTCCCCTTTTTCACCAACCCTGTACTGTAACAAGCAGAGTATGCTTGTCCAAAGATTGGTCCCTTCTGACAACATGACCAAAATACGAGAGATGAAGTCTGGCCACTCTCACTTCTAAGGAGCATTCTGGCTACACTTCCTCCAAGACAAATTTGTTTGTTTTTCTAGCACTCTATGACTCATTCAAAATTCTTTGCCAACAGCACAATTCAAGTACATCAATTCTTATGCAGTCTTCCTTATTCATTGTCCAACTCTCATATACACAGGAGGCTGTTGAAAATACCATGGCTTGGATCAGGCACACCTTACTCTTCAAAGTGATATCTTTGCTCTTAAACACTTTAAAGAGGTCTTTTGCAGCAGATTTGCCCAATGAAGTATATCGTTTGATTTCTTGACTGCTACTTCCATGGGTTTTGGTTGTGGACCCAAGTAAAATGAAATTCTTTACAACTTCAAAATTTTCTTCCTTTATCAAAATGTTGCTTATTGGTTCAGTTGTGAGGATTTTTCTTTTCTTTATGTGAAGAGTAATCCGTACTGAAGGCTGTAATCTTTGATCTTTATCACTAAGTGCTTCAAGACTTCTTCACTTTCAGCAAGCAAGGTTGTATCATCTGCATATTGCAGATTGTTAATGAGTCTACCTCCAATCGTGATAGTCCAGCTCAGCATACAGATTGAATAAATATGGTGAAAGGATATGACTTTGATGCACACACTTCCTGATTTTAAATCATGCATTATCCCCTTGTTCAGTTTGAATGACAGCCTTTTTCTTGGTCTACATACAGGGTCCTCATGAACCCACTTAAGGGTTCTGGAATTCCTATTCTTTGCAACGTTAACCATAATTTGTTATGATCCACACAGTCAAATGAGTTTGTATAGTCAATGAAATACAGGTAAACACATCTTTCTGATATTCTTTGATTTTAGTCAAGATCCATCTGACATCAGCAATGATATCCCTTGTTCCATATCCTCTTCTGAATGTGACTTGAATTACTGGCAGTTGCCTGTTGTATTGATGTCATCATTTCCATCATTTTTTAATTATCTTCAGCAAAATTTTACTTGTGTGTGATATTAACAATATGATTAAATTATTTTGGCATTATTTTGGATTATCTTTCCTTGGAATGGGCACAAATCTGGATCTCTTCCAGTCACTTGACCAGGTAGCTGCTTCCAAATTTCTTGGTGTAAATAGCGCACTTCCAGCACTTCATGTGTTTGTTGAAACATCTCAATGGGTATTCCGTCAATTCTTAGGGCCTTGTTTTTAATCAATTCCTTCAGGGCAGCTTGGTCTTCTCTCACCACCATCTATTCCTGATCATCTGCTACCTCCTGAAATGGTTGAACATTGACCAATTCTTTTTGGTGCAGTGATTCTGTGTATCCCTTCTGTCTTCTTTTGATGCTTTCTGTGTTGTTCAATATTTTTCCATGGAATATTTTAGTATTGCAACTTGAGGCTTGAAGTTTTCTTCAGTTCTTCCAGCTTGAGAAATGGCAAAGGTGTTCTTCCCTTTTGATTTTCCAGCTCCAGATCTTTGCGTATGTCATTAAAATACTTCACTTTGTCCTCTTGAAGTGTGCTTTGAAATCTGTTCAGCTCTTTTATGTCATTATTTCATTTGCTTTAGCTACTCTCTTTTCAAGATCAACTTTCAGATTATCTTCATCTTCTTTCCTTTCCTTTTTAATAACCTTTTGCTATCTTCATGTATGAGCCCTTGATGTCACGACACAACTCATCCAGTCCTTGTCACTGACATTCAATGCATCAAATCTATATATGAGATAGTCTCTAAATTCAGGTGGGATACACTCAAAGTCTATTTTGGCTCTCATGGACTTGTTTTAATTATAATTTTCTTCAACTTCAGCTTAAGCTTGCAATGAGCAATTGGTGGTCTGTCCCACAGTTGGCTCCTGGCCTTGTTCTGACTGATGGTATTGAGCCTCTCCATCTGCTCTTTCCACAGTTGTAGCTGATTTTATTCCTGTGTATTCGAATGGTGTGATCCACATATTTAGTCATTGTTTAAGTTGTTGAAGAAAGGTATTTGACAGGAATAAATAATTGGTCTTGCAAGAATTCTGTCATGTGATATCCCACGTCATTTCTGTCAGGAAGGCCATATTTTCCAACTACCAATGCTATGTTCTTGTTTCCATTTTTCACATTCCAATCACCAGTAATTATCAATGCATCTTGACTGCATGTTTGTTCCATTTCAGACTGCAGTGGTTGGTAAAAATCTTCAATTCCTTCATCTTTGGCTTTAGTGGTTGGTGTATAAATTTGAATAATAGTAATATTAACTGATCTTCCAATTAGCTATCCTATGACTCAGCAATTCCATTTTAAGAAAAATAAATACATATATTTACAAAAAGGTTCGTATAAAAGTTCCTAACAGCTATTTTCCTCTAATCATTATAAACTGGAAATACGCAAATGAACATCAATAGGAGAATGGATAAACAATGGATAAAGAATGGATGGCATGTTTACACAATGGAATACAATTTAACATGAACTGATTGGACTACTGATATGTGCAACAACATGGATAAATAATAATTTTTTAAAAAATTTACATTTACATATGGTAAAACACAAAAATTTTTCAAAATATGTATACTATTATAACCATCAAGCTGATAAAGATACAGATCATGCCAGAAAAATCATTTTATGTTTCTTTTCAGTCAATCTCACTATCATATAAAACTTTTATTGCCAAACATTTTTGTTGTTAGGTATTGTTAAGTTGGTTTTGACTCACAGTGACCCTATTTACAATAGAATGAAACACTGCCTGGTCCTGTGTCATATGTAAAATCATGGCCATGGTTGAGCCCATCATCACAGCCACTGTGTCAATCCCTCTTAATGAGGGTCTTCTCCTTTATCACTGACCTTCTACTTTACCAAGCATGATATCCTTCTCCAGGCACTGGTCCCTTCTGACAATATGACCAAAGTATGTGAGATGAAGTCTGGCCATTCTCACATCTAGGGAGCATTCTGGCTTCACTTCTTCCAGGACAGATTTGTTGGTTTTTCTGGAGGTCCATGATATTTTCATTATTCTTCACCAATATCACAATTTAAGTGCATCAATTCTTTTACAGCCTTCCTTATTCATTGTCCAGCTCTCACACATATTACACTATGGAAAACGCCATTGCTTGGATCAGGCACACTTAAGTCTTCAAAGTGACATCTTTGTTCTTAAATGCTTTAAAGAGGTCTTTTGCAGCAGATTTGCCCAATATGATACATCATTTGATATCTTAATTGCTGCTTCCATGAGCATTGTGGATCCAAGTAAAATGAAATTCTTGACAACTTCAATATTTTCTCCATTTATCTTAATGTTGCTTATTGGTCCACTTGTGAGAATTTTTATATTCTTTATGTTGAGGTGTAATCCATACTGAATGCTGTAGTCTTCGATCTTCATCACTAAGTGCTTCAAGTCTTCTTCACTTTCAACAAAGATGTGTCATCTGCATAATGCGCATTATTAATGAGTCTTCCTCCAATCTTGATGCTGCATTCTTCTCCATATAGTCCAGCTTCTTGGATTTTTTGCTCATCACACAGATTGAATAAGTATGGTGAAAAGA